GTGTGCAAATACAATCTTACGGTGCTTTCACACATAGACGTTTGTTTCGGAATCTGTCTCGTTTTACCCGTTAGCGAGTTTTTTTAGCATATATCCAGCAGTTGCGCTCGCTTCCGCGCCAAATCAATCAGTCCAAGATCGCCTGAATGAGACGGTCTCTGTCCTATTGAGCGTATATCGATTGTAGCGAGAAAACAAAACAATGCAACGAACTAACGACCCAGGCTATATCACAGTGTATTATGATTGTGTAATAGCCATATATACGGCTATATGAAGAGGGAATGATGAGCAGGGCGAGATGTCATTCTTACCGGTAAATGCGAAAGTGAAAGCATGCTGAAATATTACCGAGAGCTGTTTGTCCAGCCTGATCTCGGTTTATCCGTCAGGAAAATTGACCGAAATTACTATCTGTTAATTTTTCCATATTTTAATCGTATAATAGGCCTATGTTGTATATGCCTGTTGTTTTGTTCATTTCCGCACTGACAGCTCGAAAGAAAGATTTACATTGATCTGATGCAGTCTCGGTTCATCTGCTATGTCTCTCTATAATTTAAGCCTAAAATACAGAATTATAGTCAACGTTTCTTTAATAGATTGATTAATTCAATTGATCGATTTCTACAAAACCTGACAACTGAAACGAGGCTCTGTATATATGAGAAAGTCTGACCTCGATTTGTATTTGGTGACGATGTCTGTGGGTTGTTAAAATTAAAGTGCACATTTTCACTTATAAAATATTCTATACACAATACACAAACGTTTGGGGTCAGTGTGATTAAATATGTTAAAACAAGCTTCTTCTGCTCACCAGGGCTGCAATTATTTCATCATAAATACAAATTGTGAAATGTTGCACTATAAAATAACTGTTCAAAAGTAGTTTATCATTTAATTTATTCATTTATTCCAGTGATTTTAAAGATGAGATTTCAGCTTCATTACTCCAGTCACATGATCCTTCAGAAATCACTAATATTAATTATTATTATATTTATAAATGGTAATAGTTATAAAATCAATAATGTCTGGAGTAATTATTTTATTTGAAACTAAATACAATAACAAAGCAGTTATTTAAAATGTTGATAAATATTTAACAATTACACCTTTTTACATTTATAAATATAGCCTTGATGAACTGAATAGTTTTCCTTAAACATTTTAAAAATTACCGTAAATATATATACAGATTTATTAGCCCCCTTTTGTTTTTTGTTTTTTCTTTTTAAAATATTTCCTAAATGATGTTTAACAAAGCAAAGAAATGTTGATATTTTGTCTGATAATATTTTTTCCTCTGAACAAAATCTTATTTGTTTTATTTTGGCTTGAATAAAAACATTTTTTAACCATTTTAAGGTAAAATTTATTAGCCTCTTAAGCTAATTGTTTTTCAGACTGTCTACAGAACAAACCATCATTATACAATAACTAGCCTAATTACCCTAACCTGCCTAGTTAACCTAATTACCCTAGTTAAGCCTATAAATGTCACTTTAAGCTGTATAGAAGTGTCTTGAAGAATATCTAGTAAAATATTATTTACAGTCATCATGACAAAGATAAAATAAATCAGTTATTAGAGATGAGTTATTAAAACTATTATGTTTAGAAATGTGCTGAGAAAATCTGTTCTCTGTTAAATAGAAATTGGGGAAAAAAATAAACAGGGGTGCTAATAATTTAGGGGGACTAATAATTCTGAAATCAACTACACACACACACACACACACACACGCACATTCAAATAGCGATTAACTTCTTTTTTTTTTTTTGGTGGGGCCAGTGAAAATTTGGGCAGGGCAAGTAAAAATCAGAACCACTGGCCCGATCGGGCCAGTAGAAAAAATCCTTAGCGTTGAACCCTGTGAGCACTGCTTAGTTTAAACCCTCGCTATTGTAACTTTCAAAAACCCTCGCAATTTTTTTTCTTCCACTTAACTGCAAATTTGAATAAAAACTGGATAAAGAGCACACAAACATGCTGACAGTAATAGGTACTGTACACTGTTATGGGTCAATGATGCTAATATTCGGCACAAATCCATCAGTTTCTTAGGTTATTAGATTATTTTATAATTTCACCTCTCCTGCTGTGCATGAACTATGCTGTTGAATGTTTAGCGTATGAGGTGGCTAGGCTAACCTTGCTTCAATTTTGATAAAATTATTTTCTAATCAGTTGCTATTATGTTGTGAATATACCCCTGTAATGTATACTGCAGTCCTCTTTTGTCTGGCTTTCTCAGATGTCTCACCTGTTTGCCAAAAATGACTAATTAAATCCTTGGGAATGTCTGACACCAGCGCATACACACTGTAATAGATGTGCCAGGCATGAAAGCTTGACAGGCGTAGCAACAGTAACTAAGGAGGGCGAGGCTTAGCGAAGGGTTATTCCAAGAATGTTGATATGGTTTCTTTCTTGCTTTACTATTTATTAACAATACACAAAAAACTAAAAGGTTAAGGTAAATTCTTTAATAAATTCTAGTGTTTTTGAGTATTATACTTGTTGTATACTTGTATTATACTTATGTTTTAGGCTAGTATTATTTACGACTTGTTAATTAATGCTTCATAATACAGTAGTATTACCAATAGTGAACAGATAAAATAATACAAAGTGTAGTTTTACTACAGTAAAGTGTAATGATTTGTAGTATAAAATACCCTATATTGTAAAATAATACAGCACTGGGTAATTTGTTTATATTACACTTGTGTTACCATAGCAACTATAGTATTACCACAACTGATCAATTGAAGTTCTTTACTGTAGTAGGCTACTGTTCAAAACACAGTACATGCCAATATGCGTGTTCAGGGGCCCTGTGGCACAGCTTTCCTCAAAATGAAGAGGATGACATGGAAAATGTCCTCCACAATCTCATCAGCAAAGTGGAAGCCAGCAGACACTAGTTTACTTTATTTTAGCTGCCATGATAAAATGAGATTGATAGTGAGATTTATTTGAAGAGTGAATAGTACAGTAGGCTATAATACCTTATCAAGTGTTTCCTTATTTTTATCAAAGTTACATTTCTGCTTGCATTAGTTTTTGTTTAAATGCTTTTAAAATAAAATGTATTTTTTACATCCAACATCTATTCCAGGGGTGCCTTATAGTGGTGTAAACCCCTTTACAAGGGGTGTTACCCCTGTGTAAACTCTAGCCACCCCTGTGGCCAACCCGATATGATTTTGCTGTTGACATTATTTATTTAAATCTACTTACATAAATGCAATAAAATGCAATATTTCAATAAATAAATAGCAGCCACTAAATTATTGTGGATTGATTGGTGACACTGACGTAGCTGGCCTCTTCCGGCCCCCCTTAAGCAAATTTTCAGGGGGGCACCACTGGTCTATTCTCTGTCTTTAAGTGTTTGAAACTGAAAATATCTCATCATATAAAACAACCAAAAATGTTATGGTTTATTAGATTAAACATATAATATGTAAGTCTATTTTAGTATTTTGGTTATTGTTATTAAACAGTGCAGCAATATGAATCATATCAAAAAGCATGAAAGGAAGAGGGAACACGACACAAATTGTGAGTTTGCATATAATCTCTGAGAGCGCTCAAGAAAATTTGTGTGTGAGCAGCGCATATTTGAGAGCGAGAGAAAATTTGAGAACTCGCAATCAGTTTTGTCCACAAACAGAGGAAATCCGTGCACGAGCATCACACAAGGTAGAGAGCAAAGCTCTTCAACGTTATGTGAAGAAAACAACTTTATTGTTTGTATAAAGTAGCCTACTTCATTAACAATATGTGCTACCATTTTAGCACACACGAGATTCAATTGACAAAATTCCAATTTCACTCAATTTAACTTTGCAGCATATACAGGAGTTGGTCTACTGCTACCACATTGAGGTTATGTAATTTTGGTTAATCACAAGTTGATCACCGAAGACATAATATAGCACAACTAAACTTAATGAATTAGACAGCAGGAGACCTGCAATTTCTGTGTGATGTGAGGCAAAATGGAGTCTCTTTTTGGTGGAACTCGTTCTTGTGCATTATGCTGTGGAGACGAGACGCAGCACTGTTCAGTACTTTTTCAGAAAATTGCATTTGTATTTTTATATATCTGAGCAATGTTCTTTAATAAAAAAAGGTTTGTTTAATTAATACAGATCTTACAACCATACCTAATCTGTATATATTTTATTTTTCTGTTAAAAAGACTCGAAAAGACTCGAAAATCAAACTGCAGGACTTTGGACTTGACTTGAGACTTGTTGCCTTTGACTCGGGACTTGACTCGGGACTTGCCTGTCTTGACTCGGGACTTGACTCGGGACTTGAGGGCAATGAATTGAGACTTACTTGTGACTTGCCAAACAATGACTTGGTCCCACCTCTGTATTGTGTGTTAGATGGGACTCACATATCAGAAATGTTTGTTTTTTGTGTTGGCCACTCTTTTTTATACCCCTGAGTTAATTTTTGGTTAGCCATCTGTTTGTTTCTAAAGAGTCTCCTGTTTTCATTACTGCAGACAAATTAAGTAAAAAGAAAGAAAGAAAAAATGCCCGCATGTGTTTAGCGTTTATCCTTATCACAAACTGAACTGTATTCTGGCAGTGTTTGCGCTGCTTTGGGTTTTTCGTGGTTAATTATTGTGATATCCCAATTGCAACAGAGAAATACTGAGAAATGTCTCTAGACTGATGCCATTTCATGCCGTTCAGCTTTACAATTTTAAAATTTGAGCAAAATCACCTGTTTTGTTTTCACTTTAGACATTATGCTAGAGAATCATTCAAATACTAGCTCTAAAGTTACGTTTGTACATTAGTAACGGTTTCTGCTGTTATGAATGAATGGCGGATTAAAGGAGTACCTCAAACAAAAAGGTTTTAAGACTCTCCGTGTTTGATTTTCTTTTTTATACAAACAATTATGCCATCAAAATTTTGTATAAACGCACTAACACAGTCGTAGCAGTGCAATATGGCTGTATATCAACATATCGTATATAGAGCCATATCACACTGATACTAATGTGATATTGCTTATTTATATATATATATATATATATATATATATATATATATATATATTAGAACGATTATAACGTCAATATGCTGAATAAAATATAACTTCTGTCAATAAGATTTTTTTAAATAATAATTTTAAAAAAAGAATCCTTAAAACAACCTAAAAAAACAAAGCATGTACAGTATAATCAAAAAATAATATAACATTTATATGATTATTTCTCTAATTGAATGACTTGATCAAATTATTCTAAGAGAAAAAAAAAGTTGTTACAGGTATTTTAGGAAGCAAAGCCAGAAACAAAAGGTGCAATTGCAACTGTTATTCATGCCCAAGCACAATGTCTTCCTTAAAGCCACTAATGACAAACACTATTAACCATAATCTTTAAACCTCCATCCAAGTAATATACCTGTCTTAGAAGCCCTGCTCTCAGAGTTGTCCGTCTGCACCTCAATGTGCAAGTTTAGCTGTAGAGGTTGAGGGTCAGCGGGCTTGCAGGGGGTGATTATCTCAAGAGGGGGTGAGGAAACAGTGGAAGGACTGGGGCACTGAGGGGCAGCCTGAGATTGTGGCTCTTCAAAGGTCTCTACTGCCCCCCGCTGGCCTTGAGAAAAGGACTTCAGGGACTGCATGGCGCCAGTGAAGGTGTCATGGTGTCTCACTAGCTGACGCACCCACTTTGACAGGCCTGAGAGAAGAGGACAGCAGTGTTTGACAAACATTTAACCACTCTACATGACCACTATTTTCATAACACTCTACCACAGTGCTGTCGATCCGTGTACATTTTCAAGTAATGAATGTTTTTAACCCATCACTGTTACATGTAAAAGAGCAAGACCTTATGTACACATTATCTGGCCGCAACCCACAGTCTAATATTTCCAAACTCTTGTGGAAGGTCATCATCTCCATCTAGTGATTTTGAAACTGAACTACAACATTTTAAAGGTACCTGTGATGTATTTGTTTGGGTTTGTCCTGAACCGGTCGTCTACGAGTATAAGTGCCCCCCAGTCATTTCGATGTCGAATACACCTACGAAGACAGCAAACATTTTCACTTGTTAATCAGTGATGTATGGAATACTGTTTCCAGGTTTAACCTGCTACTAATTTGAACTGGGAAAACTATCTGAAGACATAAGACCAATTGAAGCATTTAACATTTAAGACCAGTGGTTAGGAAAAAAAGAAAATCTCAGCATTACTTGTACCAAAGGAGGAAAGGTTTTGGCTTATAAGGCTTCCTTAGGGCATAAAACCACAATGTAGCTTAAACATTAATACATTGTTATTCTTTGGAGAAAGTAGTACTGGAATTTGCTTTTTTCCCCCATTTGTATTTTCTTCCAACCACCTTATACACTGGTTGAGTTGCTCCAGATTCTATCTCACAAAGACCAATGTTTAGTATTCACTACTTTTGACATCTGAAAAAGCGTTTTGAAATTAACAAGAAGATTACCACCAAACTGACCTTGAAAGATTATGTCATCAAAATTGCTTAATTATCACCTTTTGAAATTCATAGCCCTTACCTTCCGAGTGCTTGGTTTAATGCTCGGTAGGCTTGAATCTCATACCAGCGCCCACCAGGAAGGAGCCCTCTTGACTTTGCATGCTTATCATTGTATTTCATCTTCAGTTCAACCTGCAATGAAAACAAACAATGATTGGAACATACCAGCACTTCACTAACATTTAACACCTAATGCTAGGTGATGGTCAGAGTGTGAGATAAAAGTCATTCTTGCATTGGGGTTTCTCTACACCTTTTGTATAAATAAATGATTTTATATTTAATTTTTTAAGATTTTTTTTTTATTTCTGCATAAGCTGTGTAATATATAGTAGTAGACCCCCTTTCAAAAGTCTGGTCGGTAAGATTTTCTAAAATTACATTTAAGAATTCATAAAAATATATTTTGTAATTAAAATTAACAATATAACTTATTAGCTTTTCATGTAAAAAATACATTTTCACCATAAAAACTCAGAATGCAGTGTTAAATATGGTCCTAATAAAATCCTTAGACAATTTTTTAAATATTCGTTGAGCTCTTTGTGGTGATCACTTAAGTTTTCAGGTCTTAAGATATTTTTATTTGTATTTTGAAAAGACAAATTTAAGTACTAATCTGAGACATTCTGCTTGATGTCTTCTGAGACTACTGGTAAATTAAGGCACCATTTACACACACTTTGAAGATGAAAAATGAATTTGTAGGGGTCCTGGTAATACAAATTTAATAAAAACAGGGTTTTAATTGCATTTTAAATGTGTTGAGTTTGATATTATGTGTTGAGTCAATTTTAAATGACAACCAAAACAGGAATCTCAGATCAAAATGTATCATATTTTATATTTCTGAGCTAATTCATATACACCAACCCGTGAGTTCTCTTCACTTTAAGAATTGACTCAATTTGACAGTTCCGCAATCATGTATGAAATGTCGAGGTGATAGAGCTTTTTCAGTAGCAGCTCCAAAACTTTGGAATGGTCTTCCACTCTCCTTAAGATCACCTTCTACTTTAGAGTCTTTTCAGAGGTCACTGAAAACAGTTTTTTTCTGTGGCTTTTAATCATGTGTTGTGAGTTTATGTATTTTGGCTCCTTGTATGTTTGCATGTATTTTGTGTTTTTATGCACAGCACTTTGGTACCCATTGTGGTTGGTTGAAATTGAGTTGAGAGGTAAATGTAAGGTGTGGGACTTCTATATTTAGGAACTTCACAGGTTCGCCACGCATGATGGTGTTTGTTCTTTTCATGGATGCATGGGAAAAAGGGTTGGATGAAGAAAAAGTACTATACAACAGCTTTTAAGCTTTCATTCTAAACTCAGTAGACAGTTTTTATCTGTACTTAAACTTCACATTTTTCAGAAGGCCTGACAGTCCACACCTGGGAGAGGGGCAGCTGTGCTTCCATCATGCCGCCCATACAGAACTAATTGGATTAACAGGGGCGGAAGGTAGGACTGGTCTTCAGAGGGCAATGCTCCCCTGAAGATGACACCCTGGGCCTCAAGTGCTTTCATACTTGCCTGCCCACACCCGCTGATCCATCGCAAAGAGGCGGAAAAAAGAGGCCACCATACAAAAGGCATCTGTTTTGCCATAAAAATGCCAGGGAGGCATCCATCAATTTTCACCCACTGCCCTCACGGTTTTAACGCTAACCTTTCTGAATTGACAATTGAAAAGTTCAAATCCTGTCGGATGGGACAGGACAGCAGGAGCCTTTAACTATTTGTGACAGGTATCGTGTTTTCAGATGCCACAACCTGAAAGAGGGCATGACCGTCGCAGGTACAGCTTGTTTTTTTGTTAACATCGGCTCTGCGTCATCTCCAATGTTGTCACACATCTTAATCAGAAATATTTAGAAACACATGGACACGTGGGGTTGAATTGAAGAGCAAACACTTAAGCATGACTGAATTTGCCATCTAATGCATCTCAATCTCAAACCTAGTGGATGGGTTAAAAGCAACTGTATAAAGATCCTGTCGCCAACTAAAGGCCGCCACCCTGAGGCGGACTGTCATCTAAATCCAATCAGAGTCTATTTCACTATCAAGGCCACTCACCTCCCAGTACCACATCAACACTCAATCCGACATGACAGCTTGCATATGTGAAAAAGCCAATTCTCGCTGCTAGCCAAATCTCCTCAATGTGCAAGAAACCGCAAGCTGGAAGGGATTACGTAAAATGTCAGGAGATAGCCCACTCTCCTATCAGCTTCAACCTCTTTACCTGTTCATCCTTAAAAACAGACATTTGTCCAAGAGGCATGCATTGAGCAGAACACTACCGCCACCATGCCTGTCTCAGAGATTTTGTAAGCTGCTATCGGTCCATGTTAGAAAACAGCAAGAGCGGGTCACACTAAGAGCCCATGACTCCTCAATTAAAAGGAAAATCAAAGAGACCTTAAATACAACATTCCACACAAACCTTTACATTTTAACACACTTTCCATCGTCTCACACAAGCTGTTCATTAGGCATCGAGACACGACATCAGCTAGAATAGTCCTTTTACTGCCTTTAAAATCGGAGATTATTTTTCTTAGCGAAACAAAACATGCTCCCTCTAGATTTTATGTTCACCAGAGGCTATTTTTATGTGTGCACCATTGGCTTACAATGCCTTAGACTGTTTAAAGTTCATCTTTGATCTTGCTCCCAATAACGGACTAATAAAAGCGATACTCTCATTTTAGAGGCACTTTAATAGCTTTTCTGTCTATCTGGGAAGCGTGTACAGGCATTCACACAACAGGACCTCTACGCTGAGCAGAGAAAACAAAGTTAAGTCACAGTAAATTCGACTATGCGTCTACTGTCCTGAAAACTTAAAACTATTTTTTACATCTACAAAATAAGGACCAGTCTTTTCAAAACTGAAGCAGCTTTTTATGAATTGTTGCTAGGATGTGGGCGACACGGTGGCACAGTGGGTAGCGCTCTCGCCTCACAGAAAAGAAGGTCGCTGGTTCGAGCCCCAGCTGGGTCAGTTGGCATTTCTGTGTGGAGTTTGCATGTTCTCCCCGTGTTCACATAGGTTTCCTTTGGGTGCTCCTGTTTCCCCAACTAGTCCAAAGACATGCGGTATAGATGAATTGGGTAGGCTAAATTGGCCTTAGTCTATGTTTGTGAATGGAAGAGTACATGGGTGTTTCCTAGTGATGGGTTGCAGCTGGAAGGGCATCCGCTGCGTAAAACATATGCTGGACAAATAAGCGGTTCATTTTGTTGTGGTGACCCCAGATTAATAAAGGGACTAAGCCGAAAAGAAAGTGAATGAATGGTAGGATGTTCGTGTGTGGCTGTTTTATGGCCATGTGAGTATGACAAACATGCATGTGTGTGTTAGACTGGATTTGGACAAAGCAATTATTGCACTTTGACAGTAAATAGTGTCAGTGTCCTTTTCCTATGCATTAATAGGGTCATATCCTCAATATCCCCAGGGGTCATCTCAACTCCCCATGCACTTAATCAAGGAAAAGTCAGTGTCTTACACTAAAGCTCAAAAAGCTTGCATGTAGGTTGTCAGTGCATCTAAACACAAGATTTTTCTGAGATTTTTTTTTATATTAGGTGGCCTTAACTTATACGTACTTACATTGAAATTAAAAAAGTACTTATTGTGCAAACAAGTTTTTACATTGTACTTATGATTGATTAAATATCTGCATGTAATTACATCTGTAGTTAATTTCTGTAATTACATTTGTATGTTCACTATTGATCACCACCTAACACCATATACCACCCTTAAACCTACCCATACCACAAAACCCATCCCTAACCCCACAGAAATCCCACCTTTAAAGCACCAGAAGTTTTCTGAAATACATTTTGAACACAGTAAGTAAATTGCATTTATCTTTATGATGAAAGTACATAGTGTTTAAGGCCACATAATAAAAAGTGGAACAAAACAGTGTTTTAATCAATGGACTTCCATGACCATTTCAGTTGTTTGTAATTTAAGAGTTCAGATGCAAAAAACAGATGCTTAAAAACCAGCTAAATCCACTTCTGATTTTTTTGCAAAAACCTCTAAATTCACTTATTGGGACAAGACAGTGTAATTAGTTGAAAAATCACTAAAGATGCACTTAGAAATTATTCTACCAAACATAAAACACTTAAAATTAAAAATACATAAATCTGTCAAGTAAGTGGCAGTTCATTCCACCCTAAAAAACCAGGGACAAAGCAGAAGGAAAATGAATGAATAAAATCTGTCAAGTAAGTGCATTAATCAACAACATTAAAATTAACAATAATTAAATCTTAACAATCTGGTTTCATTTCTGATATTTGGGATTTAGATTTAATATAAATAGAACAATGTAAACACTGCAAACATTGTAAACTAAGCTTGTTAGATTCCAATAATGTAGTGTAAAAACATTGTGAAACATCAATATCTGTGCATTGTCCATTAATATAAAGAGCTTATCAGGCATATAGGTAATATGAAGTAATATAAATAATGTATAGTTTTATACATTAAATGTATCTTTAAAAAAAAAAAAAACGCAAGGTAGGCCTACTGGGCAAAAAGGGGATATTTCTAAGACACTTTTAGATTAGAAGCTGTCATTCATTCATTCTCACCATACTCAAGGTCTCTATTCGTCACTTGTTTATCCTCATAGCATCCATGTAGAATAAAAAAACGCCATCTTAACTTTGTCTTTAGTGAAACAGTGTTTCTGTTTAATGTATAGTAAATTGGATCCATTCAAACGTGACTGTGCAAAAAAACGTTATGTATGCATGCCACACTTTCATTTGTACAGTGCGTTTTCATTTTTTTATAATCCACTGAGTGAGTTTTGAGGTAAGGGACGTTTTCATTTGCCATTCACTGACAGTCTCATCCAATTTATCAATCTCCCTATTTTAAAATCTAAAAATAAAAGCGCAATAAAACGCTCTCCTTATAAAATCGGATGATTCTGAATTAAGCAAATCACACAATAAATGAAAAGGCATTGCTCAAGGCATGGCATTGGAAATTGAGCCTCAAACAAAGATGTAGCTCTGGACAGATGCCGAATGGTTCTGCCAGTCTACAAACACACACAGAAACCAGTTGTAAAAGTCTGAATGATGGTGCTGTACTTCTTGTCCAGTGTGCAACCCCCTTCAGAATTATCGAAAAGTCATCAACACTAAAAAGCACCTAAAAATATTTTAAAAAGAAGATCTGAGAGTAAACTTATGGACCCCCTATCTGCAAAAACAGTTCTAACAGTTCTAACTACAAGTAACAACAGCTCTTAGGATAACAAAGAAAGCATTAAAGCTACTTTACTATTTTTTTTTCAACCTGCAGTAGACAAATGAGACACAGCATCATCTGTGTTGATGGGGGAGGTACTGAGGGGAAATCGAGGGCAGCAAACAAACACGTTTGAGTGCTGTCAACCACTTCATGTGGCATTTGAGACAAGGGGAGGCATTACGGTTGGCCAGGTGCACTAGAAACCCCTGCTTTCTTGCTCCTCATCCCCTCTGGCACATCAACTCATTGCTTGTCCGCAACCAGCCACACGATTAAAACCTACCTCAGAACCTTCCAAAACTCATCCAAAATGGCAAACTCGATCGACCTCCACTGGAGCAGAAGTGAAAAAAAATCAAAGGCCTTCCCCAGAGGTAAGGGTACAACCACGCCAACAGCTTCCACTAAGGTGAAGGGCTCGGAAGTGTCAATCATCTGTACATATCCCCACGGTGACAGACCCAGTTAAGAAAGCTTCAACATACTCTGACAGCAAGGTAGACAGAGGGGGAAGCTTAAAGGTCAGGTCTATCTGCTAAGGAGAGGCAAAAACACAGCGCAATAAGTATTGAATTCATTTATGGATCACAGCAAGGGGGAACTGGTCTGACAAAAAAGTAACTTTTTAAAGATACGAATATACATGAGAGAACTAATAATACGTCCGGGGTGATCTGAGCGCAAAAGATAAAGTTTTCAATCAGTTTGTAGAAACTATATACTTTTTGACAAATATTTGTATTTTTAAGTACAACCCCAAATCAGAAAGAGTTGGGACAATATGGAAAACGCCAATCCTTTTCACAACACTTAAAGAACGTTTAGGGACTGAAGACACCAAGTGATAAGGTGTTTCAGGTGTATTTCTTTTCCATTTTTCTTCCAAACAAGTTTTGAGGTGAAAAACAATTTAGGGTCTTTGTTGTTGCATTTTGTGATTCAAAGTGCACCACATATCTCTATTGGAGACAGGTCGGGACTGCAGGCAGGCCAGTCAAGCAGTTGTATCTTCCTTCTTAGCACCCAGGACTTGTGTGCAGGATGTGGTTTCGCATTGTCTTGTTAAAATATGCATGGGCAACAGCATATTGTGCAGCAAAATCTCTATGTACTTTTTAGCATTAATGGTGCCATCACAAAAGTGCAAGTTACCTGTGCCAAATGCACTGACACATTCCCATACCATGACAGAACTAGGCTTTTGGACTTGTTGCTGGTAACAGTCTGGATGATCCTTTTCTTCTTTGGTTCTGAGCACACAGGGTCCATTTCTCCCCCAAAATACTGATGCATCTGACCACAGTACATTCTTCCACTGTGTGATGGACCATACCAGATGTCTCCGAGCCCAGAGAAGTGGATGGTGCTTCTGGACACTGTTAACATAGAGCTTCCTTTTGGCACAGAATATTTTTAACTGAAATTTGTGGAAGTAGCTACGTATTGTGATCCTTGACAAAGGTTTGCCAAAGTAGTCCTGAGCCCATGTTATAATATCGTTTATAGATGAATGACAAATATTGATGCAGTGCTGTCTGAGGGATAAGAGATCACAGTTGTTCAGCTTAGACTTGCGCCCTTGTCCTTTTAGGACTGAAATTTCTCCAGATTCCTTGATTTTTAAAATTATGTTATGCACTATAGAAAGTGAAATATCTAGATGTTGCCCTATCTTTCTTTGAGGAACATTGTTTTTAAACATTTCAATAATTTTCTCACATATTTGTTGATAAACTGATGATCCTCTGCCCATCATTGATCTTAAAGGACTAGACCTTTCTTGGATGCTGATTTTGTAACATTTCATAATTACAATCACCTGTTGACATCACATTAAAATTTAACCAATTTACCTCATTACTAGCCCTAAATTGCTCCTGTCCCAAACTTATTTGGAATGTGTTTGAGGTCTGAATGACTGGAAAGAATATGTATTAACAAAAGAAATAAAGTTGACCAGACAAAACATGAAATATTTTATGTTGTCTGCAATAAAATATAAGTCAAATTAAATTTGGAAATCACTACTTTGTTTTTAATTTGAGTTTTGCATACTGTCCCAACCTTTTCTGATTAGGGGTTGTATAACAATGAATGTGTGAACAACATTTTAAAAACATGTTCAACTGTTTTTAAAATGTAACATTTTATCATTAAACAGGTGTGATATATTTAACATTTAGATACTTTCATCTCAACTGGATTTTTTTAGTTAAATGTTTACTGTTTTTTGCAAATTAATTGTGTTTTTTGTTATGGCCATAATGTCCCACTTTGCTGCCCTGTTACCTGCAAATCCTTAATATTAGGGAACGGGATACCAATGGTAACCACAGCTCTGGCATTGTCATCTGTGAAGTCCAAGCCCTCGCTCACCTTCCCTCTGCAAACAGCTACCAGGAGCGCTCCATCTATGAAAATATATCATACTCAACACACAGAGACAATACATTTAAACACCAATTGTGTCAAATCAACACTAACCTCTTTTTTCACCCTTGGCTGCCGTTCCTCTAATTGCCTCATAGTATGTCTGCAACAGCTCATCAAAGTCACCCTTGCCACCACCACGGGGCTCGGTAATCACAGTCTTGCACTCCTCAAGCTTATCCCACAGACCCGTGTTCGTCCATCGGTCCCGCAGTTTATCCAACATCTTATCAAATAAAAACATTTGACAGACTAAAACATCACTTGCAATGCAGCCACCTGAAAATGTTTTAGCATATAACGTTTATTAGTAAATATATTAGGATAAAGTATTTAGTCTATAAAAATAAGCAAGCCAGATCTATAAATCGATTTTATTTTAATTATGATTTAATACATCAGTAATTTATGGAGATGCAAGCATGGTAAATAGGGATGCTTTTAATAACAAACATAATGGAATCCAAATTCTGGAATGCAAAATCTGCTTTGAAACGGCAGCATCCATATGGCCCCAATTAAAATAAAAAACAAGACTCAGTTGAAGAAGAATGTCTGAACCCTGAGTTTCCCAGTAATTCATAGTTTAATAAATACAGACCTTCTGTTCGCATTGTAAACAATTTGCTGGCCTGGACCTTCTTTTTGCATTGTTAATGAATATAATACACTGCTCAAGCTACTAACGTCGCACACTTAAATCTTGAGAACCAAAGCTCACAGCAAGACACAGGATGTTTTTTTTTTCTTGTTCTCGTTACTCAGAGCAGATAAATTGCGAGTTTTAACCTGTGTTGGTAATAAAAATCACTGTTACAGTGCTATTGTTGGTGAAAAAAAAAGTCAGTGACTCCCAAGGGGGGAACACTGATCTAAAAGCTCTCCCACACAGGGAACAACCCCTGTCTTTGCTGTATGCATTTTCCTCTTGAATAAGCATGCCTTAAAATCCAAGAGAATCTTCACTGACTTGGAAATGTGTTAGAAGGGTCAAACAAAAGTTCTTCTTGTGGCCAGCAAAATAACTTCTCATGACTGCAGAAAATCCTGAATTAACATTCAAACATTAAAATTTTGATGGTTAGAAAATTATGTCTATGTGAGTTTGTATACTGTATATTGGCCCGCTTCCACTGAGTAGTACAGTTTGGTTAAGTATGCTTTTAGGGCCAATTCCACTGTCAAAGGGACCATACCGTACCACTTTTTGCTTACCCTTTGCAAAAGATACCTAGCACGACAAAGGGGTACCAAAAGGCAGCGCTAGACGCACAGCTGAACGCTATTGGTTTACAGAGATACGCCACTCACATGTCGACAAGCAGGAGAATGAAAACAAAGGAACCGTCATTTTTAAAAACACAAGACATTAGACCGTTATAATATCTACATATAGTAACAAGCCATGGTTGACCCGAGATCAAACAAACCATGTCATCATCTTAATGTACAGTTACAAAGCAAAGAAGAACAAAATCTGCTATGTCCTGTTGTTGTTTTATGCGGTTTTACTTTCTCCAGAGATCTTGCGATTGCATCTATATTAGAAATAACAAACTTCTTGTTCTGTAGATGTGCGCGTGATTATTGAAGTGCTTCTGAAATACACAAATGCAAGAATGAAGCATGCAAAAAAAAACAAAAAAACAAAAAAACAAAGAAGCCGAAAAAACAAAGGAGCAAATCTGGATTTGATAAGATATCAGAGACTGTAAGGGTCTGTATGTGTTCATATACATATGTTGCATTTATTTATTTATTTTATATAATTGCAGACGCTACTGCTGGCTATTTTGCACTTCATTGATCTGCAGTTATAATTAAATCATGTTCATAGAAAAGTTTTTAATGAAGATTTATACACAAATATTTGTGTGTATAAAGCATCTGTTTTGGGAGAAGTGCTTCTTGTATGATAGGTGTACAACCCATACAGCTTTACTTTGACATTTCCTTGAGCGAGAATGACGTCGTCTGAAACTTCCTATCGTACACCACGCCCATCAAAAGAGTACCATTGAAACACTTTTAGCAGTTGAAACGCAAGTTTAATAAAGGTGACCCATACCGATCCGTACTGTACCACTCGGTGTAAACGGGCCATATGTGAGTTTACATAAAAATCATTTGGATTGGGTGATAGACAACATGATTTTATAACCTGCAGAATTTTGAAGCTTAAGAACTTAATTTTACACTCTGTGAATGTTTGCTACACATACAGGTTCTTTTTCAGCATCAGGAAACCAAGGCATCTGGTCACAACATGTGTTTATTATAAAGACTAGGCCATGGTAAACTATCATATTTTACAATTTTATTCGTCTGAATGGTTAACTTCAGATAGATAGATAGATAGATCAGCTCATTTGACCACACATGCCTCACAAATTCAAGCCAACAGCCCCCTAACTTTTTTTGACATGTTTAAAAATGACTTGGCAGATCTTCTCATGAGCCACAACCATACAAGCAATGATTTCCCTTTTTGGAAAAAAAATGTATACAAACTTGCACAACAGCAAAAATCACACAGCACTATGCCTGTCTTTAATTGAGATAAACAATAACATAAGGAATAGGGGAGTGCCTCAGGGCTTGATATTAGGATCATTACAGTTGTGTTGTTTATAAGACCAAAAAACTCTGCACATCCACACTTTAACAAAGAAGACTCTAATCTCACACCTATTAAATATTAAATTCCACTTGAGGTGGCTGAGACTTCTGCACTGTGAAAACAATTTTACACACTGACGTGACCGTCATCAGGTCTGTGCTTACTGCTAACAGGAACAAACAAGAAACTTGTCATCAATAAAATATGACACTTGCGCTGCAACCTCAAGTCATAAATGTTGACGTTTCAAAGAATAACAGCAAACCAATTGTCCTGCAATTGCTGTAAATTCAATATGAATAAAATGTGAATTATTTATCCACTCTCTCAGACTGCCCAAGGAACAAAACAGACATTACACAAGCTATACTTGGAGAAAATTCAGAATTTGGGGCACCAGTTCATGTCAAGAAAAACAGAAAAAGAAGTTGACAGAACAATAAAAATGTGGATACAACTGCAACTACCAGGTGTGGATTCTGCATACAGCATACTAGATTTAGCTTCAGGATAAACGTTATAAACGTTATTAAAATAAATGTTAAACGATAAACGTTATTAAAATGTGCTTAAAATACGTTGACCTGAGCATAACCTGATAATAAAATGCTATCCCTTAAAAGACAGGTACGCAACATGCAAGCACAAAGACTCCTTGTATAAGCTTGTTGTTTATATTCCCAAAGCTGTAATTTGTAAGGCCTTATAAAAGCGGGAGAAATACAATACAGTGCCACTCCAGGAGTCCCTTGGCTCAAAGGGTAATGGTCCTAATGCTTTTATCTCACAGATGCTGTGAGTAAACATCACTCTATGTCTGCTTCCATGCAGTCATTTCATTACAAGCACATTTTCCACATCCCTCATCTTGACAGACTAGTGCCCTAGTTTGAGAAATCAAACTGAAAAGGCAAGCCAGTGAGCAGTTAGGTAGAAAAGCAAGATTGCCATAAGCTGTTTCATTCATTATAAAACTAAAGTTGGGTATAAAGTTATCATCATATTAAAATTGACACCTGTACTTTCAAAATCGCATTGCTTTTATTGAGGTGAACAATTAACCTGTGCAAGTTAAAGGGAAAGTTTACCCAAAAATGTTTATTCTGTTGACATTTATTCACCATCAAGTAGTTTTAAACCTTTATGAGATTCTTTACTCTGTTGAACACAACGGAAGATATTTCGGAGAAAGCTGGAAACCTTTTAATCATAGATTTACATAGCATGAAAATCAAATAATAGAGAAGTTAATAGTTATAGTTTTTCAGCCTTCCTTGACTCTTGGAATAAAAAAGGGAAAAGAAAATACATTTATATTTATATTACACTTATAAAATAAAAATGACACCACCAATCACTGGAAATAATATAGTGTATTAATATAATAGCCTACACAACTAGGGCTGCATAATATATCGTTTTAGCATCAATATCGCAGTCTGCAATATTCATATCGCAGGATCAGCAATGAGAATTTGGGATTATAGTTGATCAGCCCCACAGTTAAAAACGTGATTTTTGGGATCATTGCAAAGTTTAACACTAAAATAGCAAGGAGATTCTCATTTCAATGTGTTTTTAAGACCTGTGACTGTAAGATTTAAGCAAATTTAAAATAAGAGGTTATAATGGTGTACAAACCAAAATAACTTGTATTTAATTATTTATGAAATAAAGATTTAACACTATACAGTGTTATATTATATATTATATGTACTGCAATACTGTTAGATTACACAGAAAACCATAAAATTCATTTGTATTGGTTCAATTGTAGAGTATTTTTATGCAATACATTCTACATAATGATCCCAATGAATAAAATAAATGAATGGATTTGATAGATTAATTGCAAATGGAGTTACAAGTCATCTTCTTGTGAAAATACATTTATAATCACAATATTTACTGCAGACAAACTAAATCTCACAATGTCAGTTTTTGTTAAATATCGTGCACCCCTTATACACAACTGATTAAAAATTTTTTGAAATAGAAGAATAGTAAAAGAAAAGAACAGATAGTGAACTAGGGAGTCACTAGCTACGTTTCCATCTATCCATTTTTATGCACATTTTGGAGAAAAAAATAAGACTGATGGAAACAATTTTTATTCGATAAGAAAAGATGTGCATAAACTACGATGGAAACACTTTTACCAAATAAAATCCAGTATGCACATAACAAAATGTGATTTTGTTATAAGAGATCATGTGATGATAAAAATATGTGTGAATGAACAAAGCAGCAGGCTGAGCACATTGTAAAACATCTGAAAGGTTGTTTTGGTCATTTTAAAACGCCAGTATTAATGTTATTATATTATTAATTACCTCCAGAATTGTCAAAGGCATCTGTGCTCTGCGTATGACACCTTCAAATGGCACCACACGTTCATTGCATGTCAGCATTTGTTTTCTGAGGCGCAAGTAATTTATTAAATAAAGAAAAGATTCACGCAGCTTCTCCTACCACAGCAAATTCCATTTTTACTTTGATATTTGGTGCCAGTTATTCAGGAAGTGACAATTTTCTACTCTTTGATGACTTGGATGGAAACGCTGCTTTATTCACACATCTTTTATGCGATATTATCACAACCATAT